CACGCACACTGTTCTGTCCAGTGTCTGAGTCTATTTTCGCAGGTGGAGACTGTACCGTTGCCAGCTGTGACGTCATGTATCAATATTACGTAGGGATCTCCCTTGTTGTTTCGGTTGTTTCCGGTCGCCTCCTTTGAACCTACGGGACGGAACTTTCCCTTGGACTGTCTAATATCAAGGAGGAGACATAGGAGACATCAAAAGTTACGACTTCTTGAATAAATTTGTGGTTTTACGAGTTCAAAAGCCAGTGACCTTACTTCGGTGGTCATACTGTACTATGTTCATAGTAAACAAAAAATACTTCAAAATACTTGACCAATCGATTTAAAAATATGCCTTTCATAACCTTATTAATATTTTTCACATCGTCGAAAATGTTCCCAAACTATATCGTTAGAGTGGTATTGCAATACAAACTAGTTGAACTAATCTGTTAACCAATTTAAACAAAAACTGGTGACTTGTACTAATTACAGAATAGTTTCATACCAAACAACTCGTATGTATGTAGGTAACACGCATTTTAACTGTTTCCAAAAATATGTGAACGAATACTACTCGGCATTCTCAATCAGTTTTGATTTGTTTAAATCCGTACTTTAAGTGCCTGAATTATTTTGACTCACCCCCCATCATTTATTCTCCCTGAATCGTTACAGATTTCAATGTTAATGACTTAGCATGTAACATATTAATAATAAAAATAATGGAATTAGCAAAGACAATATTGTTGGTGTTTTAGGTCCTTAAAGGTCCTAAAAAGTTTATAATAGTCGCTACAAATTTCCTCAGTGAATTAACAAACTTCCGATCGTCATGACGAAGAAACAACACATGAAGAGACGTCGAGTGTTCCATTGTAGCTCAACAAAGGTGGAACTAACAATAGAGAAATTAGCCTAAACTAGCAAAGGTTACGTTTGCTGCAAAAACAGCGGCGTGTGACCAACTAAATTGCTTACTTGGAACACGTTGAAGGCCGCACTTCTTTTTAACAAACTATACATAATACATAATGAGTTATTTAGTTTACATGGTTCTGGTCGATTTTGTGATTTGATCGTTAGTGAATTTTATGTTTAGTTGGCGTTGGTATCACACCCCCTTTTGCTGTATAAATGATAAGCAACAACGTCAGATCAATTGGTTATGTAATGAAAATTTGGGCCCGCGTATCGCTGGTTAGAAAGTGCGTTAAAGCATTTCCCTGTTCTTTTAATCTTAAACATTGTTTGTCTATCAATTGGTTTATCAGCTGTTGAGAGCAAGACTAATATTTATTGAGATTTTCTGCTGTGTCAGACTTGTAGAGTCGTAGTTGAAATTTGTTCCATCAATAATATTGGTTTAGATCATTTTGTTTGCTAGAACGTGGGTTGGTGTTTTATGTACTTAATGAAATTATTCGAGAGTACTATACTGTACATAGTATGGCTTCTTTAGGTAGCCGCCAAAGATTACCAAGCTTAAAAATACCTTATGTTGACATTGTTATTGCATTATTAAATCTTGAAATAAAAAAAATTAAAACTTCTCCGCTCCGTATAGCTAAATCAAACGCGTTCAGTTTCCCTCGTACTTTACAAATTGGGCAATCCACCAAGATAAGTCATCAAAGGAGAATCATTATGTGATTAATGGACAATTAATTCGCACCAGCCAAATGATTGATATTTTGAAATTACTTCCAACTGTATAGTGCACGCGAATACACCATTCTTCTTTTAAAGCTTCTTTTACCAAAATAGTACATGAAAGTAACAAAAGGTTATCGCTTGAATATCTACAACGCTACGTCTGGAACGTACATCCAAAACGTACGTAGACATGTGCGTAACCATGTGTGGTACGTAGGTATGTGTGCTACGTCTGGAATTAACATTATCATAAAGGATGTTATAGCGTCTTAATGATGAAACTTATGTTTGAGAAATATTACTTCCGAGAAACAAAAATAATTCGAAAACAATATTCTAGTTTATTTACTATTTCCAACCCTATCTATACGAGTAATCATCAATCTCATTGGAGTATCACCGATAGTGATAAAGTTTTGTCACAGATAGACTAGGCGGAGATGCGAAGGCGTCCTAGCAGTTGAGTTATCACGCTCCGAGTCAATGGTATTGAGTGGTTGACCAATTCAAGTGTTGACCACAATTGATGATACGACGCCGACAAGTTGTGAGATGTATCTCTGTAACTGTCGAACATTATCTATATCTGACACTATGTAACTTACAATGTTACCAACTCAATTCAGCATCAAGCGTCTCGTTGGATTGATAGAGTTTAGTTTATTAATTTTATCGATTCGTTTTTTATTATTATTAGGCTACTTCTGAATAATGTGTGAGTTTTTGGCACAAAATAGCATTTCCTAATTGAAACTCGTTATTGTATTATTTGCATTTTATATTGAATTTCTTTTCTATTGAATTTGTTGAAAGCGGTTTTCATCTTGATTTAAATCGACTGTTGCCGACAAGTGGTCCAGATAAACGTAATTGGACATATTTTTATTTACTTTCCGTCCATATTTGACAAATCACTGTTCTCATCATTACCGATTAATTGTACTTACATTTATAATCACACCGAACCTTACATTGAAATATAAAGTCTTACCTTCGATACACAAATACTGTTCCCAACCGACTTTACAATCTACCAGTATTTCAATTGTATCAGTGTATTCGGACCACTCCAGTATCGACCCTACTTCTCTGACGTTGATAAAATGTTACATCGACGACGTCGCAACTCCTAACCCAATATTGGCTACCTTCAGCGCGTCAGTTATCTTACAAACTTATTGGCTTGGTCTTCAGCGCCTATAACTTGGTACAGTTTAACAAAGTACTGTAGTTTAATAGGTAGTTTCATGCTATCCAACAGCTGTCTAAACATAGTTATACAATCAGCTGTTTATATTGTTTCATTGTGGTTATTTGTTGTTCGTTTGTTGATGTTCTGTTGATATAGTGGAATTGATCACATTTTACACATTGATCATATTCTTATGAAGAAGAATACCAAATTGGAATCAGGCCTGGGTGTTTGAATAAAACATTGCAATTACTGTAGATACGCATTGTACAGTATATTAAAACATGTCATACACTACTCCTCTATTGGGTCTTATTATAATTTAAATAAATACTTAAAATCCGCTAAACGATCATTTTAATTTGAGAGGACCATTTTAAACAAACGTTGGTCTAATAATATTTTTTACGAACCACATTACCACATTTTGTAGTGAAGAAACCAAAGCCGTAGAAAAGGTAGTTTTGAGGTTTATTGAAATTTGTCAGTACCCTAGTTTAAGAAATAGCCAAAGTCTTCGAAACAGTTCAGGTATTCCTAATAAATTGAAAAATACAGCACAGTCACTCAGTCAGTACAGTTGTTTTTTCAATCATATCTTTATACCAAATTTACTATTTTCAAAGACTTTTGTCGGTAAGGTATTATAAAACCAAATTGTCGCTGAAACCGTCTACAGTACTGTCAACACCCTGCTTTACTCTCCGTTTATGGTAATTTATGATAATTCTATTCTGATATTGGCGACAACTTGCTTACAAACCGGATTGTCTAAATGTTTGATCTTGGATATAAATAGACCATTACTTTAATTTTATCTGGGTCGTCGCTTTTGAATTAACACATTTTATTGCACAAAGCAGTCTTGTAAATATCACAGTACAGTAGCGGTTTGACAACTCTAGCTTTGGTTTCATTAATTAAATTCCCGTTGAATTTTGAATTATTCATGGTTTAGAAGAAGTGAATGAAATCAAAGCTCACTTTGATGGGATGAATACTAAACCAACCATCATAATGTAGTGGTTTTTTTCATTTTCAATTCTTCATCAAACTTCTAATTTTAGAAAAATCTCTTTTGCCATAGTTGATCAATCCTTTTTTCGTCACTGTTGGTATCATTACCAATTAAGATTGGGACCGTAACTGGTCATATTAACCAAACACCAAACTCATGTTTGTCATCAAGGATGAGTGAGATTTCTTGAGTAGCTTTGACTTAACATTTTCTAATTAGTGTGATCCATAAGTTACATTACTATGCTTACAATGTGTAGCCAGAACATACTTAATCAGACTGAAGAGCTGTAAGTCAAGTATATAATATAGATATGCACGATAGCCGTGTGTCATGTGTCAGCGTCGCGACTACGAGACACTGTTATCAGCGATGCTGCGACCACACCCACGTCCTCGTCTTATCAATGACACATGTGCAGTTTATGTAGGTCAGGTTACAGTGTAATTGTATTGTCATCGCGACGCCACATTGTTGATACAACTATACAAACACAACCCACGTGTTGTGGCGTCTGTCTGCAGGCGCGGTTTGGTAGCACCACGGTGGTTCGGAATCCAACTGGTGTACAAAAATGACAAAACTCAGGTGAGGAGAACCTTCCCTTTTTGGAGAATTCCCTTCACTCTAGCTATACGAAATGTTCTTTACCTCGTCAGCTTTTGAGACAATATTGTTTAAAGCTGTCTATATTATAATCTGTATGATGGAACCTGTCTCCTGACTGGAACTAGCCAAGGCTTTGGCCAGTCCACAGGTAGATGGAGAGTTTGGAGACAGGTTCCGCCATACAGACTGTATGGGATGGAGGGATGGGTGTTCAATGGTCAAGGGCCTTGGGGGAAAATTATGATAGCAACTACATAGTTGGGCATTACAATCTGTATCTTACTACGAAAACCTATCGGATTCAACTGGTGGCTAATGAAATGGATTCATTTAAGTACTTCTGTGTATTGTCTCCATGTACCTAACAATACATTGGATTTATATTTTATTCGAATTTTGGAAACTTAATACATCAATCAATCCCTTTTTCAATCCTTCCCTTTTTCGTGTTACCTCTCAAAATATTCCCATCCCTCCCAGAGTAAGGATTGGTTCTAAAACTATGTCAACCCTCTACATTAACAACCGTTGTCTTTTCCAGGTGCTGCTGAGGAGGCATGGATGATGGGAAGAAGAAGAAGGAAGACAAACCAGCGCACCCGCGGGAAACTGCCAACGTCTTCTCTGCTCTGACCTTCGCGTGAGTTCAACGATTTTGCTAAACTTCTGGAGTCTGTTGGTTATGTAACACTATTCCGGTTGTTTGGGGGCGACAGAATACTACTATTGGCAACTATGTAGATTGCGATCAATGTGTGTAACCATAATTATGCTGTATTATAACAGTTATACAACCAATAAGTGGATAGCTCTAAATCTCACCTCGTGTGAACTCGGCGATTTCATCAATCTTCTCTCTCGAATATTGGTTATGTAACATTTGTTTGACTTTGGGTGTAACGCATTATTGGAAATTCTGGTCCCTGATATCAACAAGTATTTAAATTACTGGTTCACTACCATGTTTACGTTATATGGTTGCGAACAAGTACAAAACAAATCTGACACAAATTCTTTAGATTTTGTTGATTACATAATCTTATACTGGTTGTTTAGGGCTTTATTGGCCGTCCCATACATCTGAATACAGAATACGAAGGTTTTCTAAATCCAAACTTGCTTTGTTATGTTTAATGTCAGTTTTAGAAATTGCTTCTTCTTTTGTTCTTCGTTAAACACTAACCGACCTATGGATGTATCAATAGACCTTACCACGGGTTTCTCAATCCTATTGAGTTTTGTTGGTTACATAACTATAAAACAGTAGATGGTCTAGTCTAGGGAGGAGACGTTTAATTTTTATTTGATTTCCATCCTAACTGATAAAAGTAGAACGGAATTATCACAGTAGCAACTTTAATGTGCTTTACCTAATAGTTTTTGCAGTATATTAAGTAGTGTAGTTATTGAAGATTTAATTTCCATGGAGAATTGTTTGGCCTGGAAAGCACACCGGCGGTGTATAATACAGTAGTATGGACTCAGATCTGTGTTTGGAGCAATCCATATGTATAATATGTTTTTTAACATGAAACTGGTAGCTGTCAGTTTTCACTGGCTATGTTGGTGGCCTGTGAAAGCCATGCAATATATTTATACCTCAAGTGAAATGCCATGTTGTATCGTGTCTTACTATGTGACGAGATTTCTTTTTATTCTCTTGTCGTCTGAGCTTAAATGAACAACGTATGCTCGAGTTATCTTTTAGAATCGGATCTTACAGAAAGTTATATTACTCTTAAATAGCTTTACACCGTACCTCTTGATTAATCACCGTATCTGAAAATCACAGCTCTATTGTTCTTACTACTTTGCATAACATGTTTACTCAACTGCTATGAATGGGAGGTGTGTCGGAGATAAAACTAATATGTTTATCAACAATTCGAGATTTACTACTCTAGATAATTGCTTGATAAAATAGTTTAGTTTAACAAAGTAGTCGAGCACTCGATGCTACATTGTGGGCGATGAAATAATTGAGTAAATCACATCTTGAAGACATTTAAAATTAATTGCTCTGTAAAATAATAAACTGTGCAACAATAATAACTATATGGACGAGAGAACAACTACTATACAGACTCTCATCCTAATGCAAAATCGAAGTACGGCGTGCGTTTCTATTCAGTTAATTGAATGTGTTTAGGACAACTGGTCGTTTCTCTTGTATCCGTGGTAAATGTACTTGTGCGCTTTACTGTTCAAATTACCACGGATCAAGCAATGTACAAATGTATCTTCAGAATACTATTACTTCCAAATTATCAAAATAACGTAACGTATAAAATATAAGACTTATCAACGTTCTGACGTTATTGCATTTACCTGAATATAAGCATACTGTAAAATTTGATTCACGTCATCCAAGAGGTTGATAAGTATAAGGGACTAAGTTTAATCCACGATGATAAACAGTTTATCAAACTAGTGAACTACCCATATAAGACAAGTTGTCGTCGATAAATCAGTTTTATTTAGCCGTTGTCGAGGACCTCTGTCTCAATTTTGCATCACAATCGTTTAGCAATTGCAGTCGTAAGCAATGATAAACACAAGGCTATTCGTGCACTCGGCAGTAGGCAGTTGAATGCCTCTTGCATGCAGCTGCACAATTCTGTTAGATAACGAGGAAATGTCATGGCACGATAGTCATCCGCTCACATTTACCTCGAACCTCGAAGTGTCCGAAGGTGAAGTGCTGGGAGAAAATTGTTAATTGAATGCATGGGACATATATCGGAGTGCCTTATGAGGTATTGGATTATTCTACAGTGGATGTAATACCTTGTACGGTATCAAACCTTAAAAATATATGAAGTACTTACAAGTATTGATGAAGGACCCTATGAAGGATAAGTAGTTCTTAATCAAAAGAACATCTACCTTGTTTTCCCTATTTTAAGCATTGTCTCGGATTTATGAAAATAAAACTAGTTTAGTGGTTTTTGTTTCGTCGCATAGCTTTGATGTTAAATCCAATTTTACAAACTTGTAGTACTTAACTGTCTGTCCATTTATCACCCCAATACAAGGGCATGATTAATTCCATGTCATTGGACATTAAATAATCCCATTTGAACCAGGAAATTAAAAAAAAAAATATGAGGGAGAAGGTGGGTAGCAAATGTGACTTTATACTCCTTTAATTGTGCCTTTCAATGAGCGAACACAGAATACCAATTTCTACCCTTTACTCGCTGCTTTAAAGGGAAACGGAGAACCGGCCACCATTGGCTCTAATCCGCATTATAGAAGTTTGGTTTGGTTAGGTTACGTTAGATTATATAAATATGGCCCCTGAATTTACGACCAGTGGCTTGGACCCCTACACTCGCTTTTAACATATGGTCTAGCTCATTAAAAAACCGGAAGTAAAGAGAGAGGGGCTTCGCTAATTACTTTCGTGACTAGTAATTTCGACTTTGATCGCACGAATATGTGTTTTAGCGACAAGGTTATGCACTGTTTTACAACTCATGAAAAAAAGTAAGCTTGTTCGTCTTCACTGTGCAGTATACAGTACTATGATATAAACTCAATGGTCTTATAGAAACCCCTCTGATATGAACTTCATATTCACAGTTCTTTTTCGCCAACAAACAAGATTCTATTACTCAGCGTGTTCATTTCTGGTAATGTAAGTGGCTGCCAACAATTGTCGTGCAGTTAAACTAAACTGCTGTGTCACGACGGAAATGTTTCTCTCTTCTTATCTGTTTGGTTGGTTAGGAATCTTTTTACGGTTCATTTCTCACATCATCAATTCATCGCCTTGTTCCATATCCATTGCCTATTGCCTGCTCAGCTAGGTCTGTGGAAGACGCGGAATGGGAAGATGATGATTCCACTCTCGTGAGGTACCGTTATAAAGTCAAGGTCTCTTTCGCTTCTTTTGTATTTCCCTACGATTCTTTTGAGTCCATTATGGCATTATGTTTTATGTGCCAATAATGCAAATTTGCATGTGCTATTATTATTATAAATTGAGATAAGGACCTATGCTCGTATTTTTACCGAGATATGAGATAAGGATGGTGTAGAATGGTGTAAGATCTGTGTTGCTGTGTTATCAATAAGCTGTTGATTTCTCAGGATCGATCCGGCAACCATTCGATTGTTTGAATAACTACACGGCAACCACTATGACCACTCAACTACCCAGTCATATCATGTAACATCAAATAAAGGGTCGATGTCTAAATTATGTTATGTGTATTTCCATAAAGATCAATTTCTGTGTACGGGACTGTTAAACATTACTTGATCGTATAAAAGGTATGATTATCTTCCAATCGGTTTTATGTCATTGCTTTTGGACCTAAAAATGTTCAACCGCTTACATGGTGAAATAATTTACGTAAGTAACCATTATTTTGACGACCCAAAAATTGTATAAAAACAATAAATAGCTTAAGTTCTCATTTCGACTCGACTGTTGAATTTTCAAAGATTATTTTGTCTGCCCACAACCATTGATGACATGTTCTAGTTAGCAGACACAGGTGTACATGGTGAATAGTTACTTGGTCGTAACAGCAGCATTAGGCAACGGATGGCGATTATTTACACATTTCGGCGCAGGTGGCTCAGCATGTGATCAGCTGACTGTGTAGCGTCCACCTGGCCAAGTGACGTCACTTTCTGACACTGGTCGCGATCCACACCATAGAGTAACCAGTCCTTTGGATTTGTCAGTAAAGCACGAGTATACGATCACGTTCTGTAATTGGTAAATTGGATCGTTATAGATTTGTGTTATGAATTTGTCATTGAAGCATAATCAGTAAATTCATGTTTTAACAGTGGTAAATTGAACTGCCTAATGAATTTGTGTAACACGGGTTCGCTCACGTTCGGAAATCGGAACAATTAATTGTTTTTGTCTAGGACTTGGTAATTGAAATACAACAATTTATTTCACTCCATGACAATGCTTGGTAAGCCTTTTTAAACGTACTCTCTAATGGATTTTCCAATGAAACATAAATCTGCTACTGTATAAAATATGATAATTCTTTGCTACTAAGAAGCATGAAAAACTACTTGCAAATCATGCCACTCCACAAAACATATCAAATCCCTTTTTATGTGAAAAACGAAGTCAAAATTGAAAGGAAAACTGTTTCCAGGAAGAGTAGTTTTCTTTTAATAGACTTGGCATTTACTAGGAAACTTTTGAAATTAGATGATGCTGAGGATATCAAATTGTATTACATCCAACGATTACGGGATTGTGTTTATTTACTTAAGAGTAACGAATTAAATTACGGTAACCCACAACTAAGCACCAGATGATTGTTTGAAATCCCACGATAAGATTGTCAATAAAGAAGCACGTCTGCTTTGCCACAACAATAGATTATCCAAACTACTTGTTATTCAACTGAAGTGCGCAATAGACTCGAGCTAATTTGAGGCCAACAATCATGATACCCTTGTACTTTCTGTGGAATGTGGCCTCAACTTCTCGTCTGCCGTCAAGAATATTTTCTCAAGTTTGATTGTTTCCTACGTGAATTTCCTGCACAACAATCAGTAGTTCAATGACAATTCAGTAACTTCGCTAAACAATGATCTCGACCCAATTCTAAAAGTGGTAATCCTTGAGTTCAGATTTAAGAAGAACAATAATCAATA